CTTTGGTGACTCCCAACAGTGCCAAATCTTCCTTGGATGATGAACTTGATAGACATTATAAGTAAGTTAGAACCAAGTGTGGTGCATGAAGAAGATAATCTGCTTGAGTTACAGTATGTTGGGTCAGATATGACACACAATGAGGTTACATAAGGCTATTCCAAAACAAACATCATCAGAATGTTTTGAGCAATAATATCATTGTCGGAATAAATTTAAATGTATTTCTTAACATAGATGCCATATAAACTTGGGGAAGACTGGCTGCACTTTGGACCTATGAATCTTCAGGTTATTGAAACCAGGTAGCAGAACAGGCAGTGGGGTAGATAGAGAAGACAGAGAGGGGGGTAGCTCTGTAGTAGGTGGAAATTGTTCCTCCTCACTGTAATGCATGGCTGGATCTTCTCTTCTTTTCTTACATTTGCTCTTTCCAACTATCCAGAAGAATGGCTATAAGCACAGAATATAATAACTCAAATAAGCTCACCCTTTGGTGGGAGTCTCAATAATTTTTCTTTCATTAGTTCAGATTTATAAAAGCACTCCTCCTTAGAAGAAAAATTTAATTGAGTATAATAACACTTTCCCTTAGAAACCACACAGCATACAATTCTCCAGGTTACATGATTTTGTCATTTGTAAGGTTAAAGCATTTGATGATCCATAGCTAAAACTTTGTAACATTGAATGTTTTTAGGGATCTAATGAAATAATGAATATGAAAACAATTTTTAGAAGTTAAAAAAATTAAAAAGCTTTACAATGCAAGGTGGACCAGGAAAAGGTTTTTGACCTCGAGGGCCTCCACACTGGGGATATGAGAATTTCCGTCAGGTGTCTGAGGAAATGTGTGTGGATAAAAGTTTCTAGAGGGCAATCTGGCAATGCATGTCAAAATGGGCATAACTTTTGACCTACAAATAACAATTCCGCTTTAGGAATTCACGAAAAATAGTAATTGGACAAATATTTGAAGGTTTGGCTAGATGGGAATGCATCGTTGCTTTATGACAGTGAAAGTGTAAAATAAACAAACAAAAATCCTAAAGGTATGTTAACATGGCATCAGTTAGACATAATGTGATATAACCATTCAGTGGAATAATATTCAGTAGTAAAAAGATGCAATTATTGATTGTAATGATTAATATTCCATGTCTATGTAGAAGTGAAAAAGAAATTATGAACTAGGTCATATATCCCATTTTATATTTTATACAGGAAGATAAGGCATCAAGGATGTATAACAAGTGTTATTAGTGGTTATATCTGAATGATGGGATTATGAACAGTGGTTCTTTATCTTTCCTTCTGTCTCTCTTTCTTTCTTTTTCCTTCTTTCTTTTTTACTTGTTTGTATTTTCTCATATTTTCCCCCAATGAGCATGTATTTGTAAAGAACATATATACTAGGAGCAGTATTGCATAGCACAGATTGTAGAACCATACTGCCTGGGTTTAAATTCCAATTTTTCCTTTTAAATAGGTATGACATTGAGCATATAGCTTAACTTTTCTATCTCAGGTTCCCCAACTGTAAAATGCAGGTAATTATAGTACCTACTTTATCAGGTTGCATCGAGTATTAAATGTGGTAATATACTAAGGTAATTAGTAAATATGCACATAGCAAACACATAAATATTTGTTATTCAACAATCAGGAAAACAAAGGGGCTGTTTCCATTTTGAGAAAAACACTAATCACTACTTTTACTTTTTATATGCAAATTAGCAAAGAAGGCAAGATATTGTCATAGATATTACCAATTTTAAATTTGGTCCACAAAAAATAATAAAGCTGAAAAGAAAAAAAAAGCAACTCACCATTACCTAACTTACTGCATGAGGCAGTTAAATAGACAGGCTTTAAAGGCAGAATAGGATGGGGTTTCAAACCTGACATCCACACACTTAGCTCTGAGTCCTTGGAAAGTCACACGACCTTCTATGCTTCAGATTCTTTAACCGTAAAATGTGGGCAACATAAGGCATTGGCGATAATATAAGGCATTAACCACATAGGGTTATTGTATAGATTAATAAAAATAATCTATATTAAGTGCTTAGCATATTGACTAGCAATTAATAATCTTTGTATAAATGTTAGCTGTTACTATTATTATCACCATCATAATTAATTACTACTCCTTAAAATAAGTCTGTGACTGGAATGGGTCCAAGAAAATACCACAACAGCTAAAACCTCAAGACAAGACAGACTGCCAAAGCAGGACCAACAGAAGATCTTAAGGGGGAAAAAAAAAAGCAAATATCTATCTTATCAGACAGATGTTGCATAGCAATGGATGCTGAGATATCACATAGCAGGGATTCCAGCTCAAGCATAAAACTTGAGGAGACACTCAATTAGAAGGACTCTAAAAATAACAATAGAAGAGGAGAACAATTATTTTACCTTCACAATACCCTGTAAGGTTGGCATTCTGTCTCCATTTTACAGAGGAAGAAACAGATTCATAAAGGATAAATACCTTGTCAGCACCACACTCAGCCAGTGAGCCAACCGGCCATCCCTATATGGGATCCGAACCCGCGGCCCTGGTGCTATCAGCACCGCACTCTCCCAAGTGAGCCACGGGCCGGCCCAATAAATACCTTGTTTATACATACAGAGAGAGAGAGAGAGAGAGAGAGAGAGGTCAGGCCAAACCTTAGAGAGAATCTGTGTTTTGTGTACATGCCTTGCTACCCTCTAGCAGCTCTGGGGCAGCTGCCATCCACAGTCAGAGAAGATAAAACAAGAACTCCTTTAGTAAAAGTGGAGTGCTAGTTGGTGATAACACAGCCCCCAAATGAGGAGTCCACCTATGACACTGAAATGGCCCAAGCCTAGATTAAGTGAGAACCCATATGTAGGTGATTCCAGCTGAGGGGACCAGAGAGATGGGGGGAAGAGGGTATAAGGAGCCAGAGCTGTTTGTTCTGGTTTCTTCATAGATCTCTCTAATACGTATGCAGCATTTTAATAAAACAATGAGATTTTTTCTCTTGTGCAACTCAATTCTAATAGTACACGTATCAGACTCAAAAGACAACTTCTCCATTTTTCTTTTCATTTCAGGAAGAGAAAACACAAACAGCATGCACATCCCAGAGAGTGTGACTACCGTGGGAAAGCTGGACTAGACACTTTATCAGGGAGGAGGGCTGTAATACTAGCATTTTGTCTATTGCCTTTCCTTTTCACCTTCTTCTAGGCACCCAACTGGGCACTTTGACTTTCAGACATTTTCAGCAATTTAGCACTCCCCTCCCACCTAATCCTCCTGTGGCCAATAGAGGGCAGACTGTCTCTTCTTCCAGACCTCCATCAAAAATACATTCTAATTCCCTTTCCTTTCAGACCTGGTTCCCCCCCCCCCCCCCCCCCTCCTCGCAGCCCCCCCCCCCCCCCCCCCCCCAGCTTGGAATACTCCCTCCTGTCCCAACCATCCCTTTCAAATGCTTACTTTAGAGGCATTCACTCAAACCACAAGAGAGAATGGCCACAGACAAAAATATTCAAATATCTTTTTGTCTGTAATTCTTCCCTCTTTCCCTTTTCAACTCATTCATTCATGCATGCATACATTCCTATAAGTTTGGCTCCCTCCCATGAGCTGACAATCTAAATGGGTTCAGAGCTATTTAAAGAAGTATTTGTAATATAACATGATAAATGCTACAAGCAGAGGTACTTACAGAGTGCTGTAGAACAGATAAGGGAAAAAGCTCAAGAAGGCTTCCCAGAGGAGGCATTAAACCATATCCCATGCATGGTTCTAATTTTGAAACTCAAAATGCCCTTCAGGGTCCATGTAACCCTTCCCAGTCTTTTTCCTTTGACACCTGATTATTGCCATGTTGGGCTCACCAAACCTTTTCTGTACCCTTAGTCTGGCCTCTTAAGATGAGGGAATCCTTTGACATTTGAGCCTCAATGTCAGTGCCTCTGCTTCTGGCCACTCTATAGTCTCTCCTGGATCCCAGAGAAGAAACAGCTATTTTGTAACTGAGTGGCTAGTTCCCACACTGGTTGCAGATAAACTGCCAGGCCCTTGCAGGTTTCTCATTTGCCACTAGTCACTGTCTTCAAGAAATCCTGTTTTCTCTATTCCTTCTATGACTATTAATTCTATGGCAAAGGACTGAGTGTAATTTGATTCTTTTAAGCTGATACATCCATCTTAGTTTTAAGAACCTCTCTAGTCCTTTCTAAGCCTGACTTGAATTCCTGTGAGCAGTCAACCTTCCTCACCTTGTATCTGTGTACCTTCCAGTTGGCTCTACCTCTGATGTCAAAGGAACAATGGATTGTTCCTTACCTGTGATCAATCTGTAGCTTTCCCTAATCCCTAATATATCACCTTAAAAAATTAATAAAAAGCACAAAACAAAAAAGCAAAACTTTGACAATGATTATTATCCCCTTTTTTCAAACTACAGTGGCTTTCTCACTTCTGCTTTTTTTCCATCACCTGACCTTGACTTTTCCTGTTGGGTTCTACAGTGTTATCTATTACATTTTAATAATGTCTTTATACTTGCATTTGTACAAAAATACAGATAACCTCCTCTACAAGAGTGGAGGTGAACGTTTAACACAGTGCAATGATGACAGTTTGTTGGCAAATCTCACTGTGAAGTACTGGGTTACAAGAAACAACCATGTTTAATAGTGTTGTGCATTTTAGTTTTCTTTAGTTTTGCTACTAGGAAACCTAGCAAATTTGAAATGATTTTACCACTTAATTACATATTATAGAACCATAGGGTATGAGGGCCTTTGGAGATCATCTCATCTGACCCGTTACACCATTGCAGGAATTGTCTTCACAACATCCATGGAAACTAGTCATCCCAACATCTCTTTAAACCATGTAGAAAATGAGGTTCTCACTCCCCCTTTCCACTGTTGAACGTCTTCCCCATGACCCGCTAATAATCAGTGATAATTAATGAGCCTCTTCCTCTCCTAAGGACAGATAAGACAGATAGGTGAGAAACATTTAGTTTTCTGTCAGTGACATGAGAATATTTTACAGGTAACTTTGGCTTTTTGGTTCAGGATTAAAGTGGTTAAACCAAAATATTTGTTAAGTATCAATTTGTTTCACAAACATAAGATTTCAAAGGCATCTGTTTCCTTTCTCCTTATACTGCCATGCTATTAACTTCTGGTTCATTAGTCACGATTTTCAGGATCCACTTGGCTGCCACCTTCCTGCAGCCAGACCATCTTGGATCAGAGGGCTGGCCAGCCATTCCCACTTCACACCTGCCACACGATCGATTTTTCTTTTCACACTGATTCAAGTCACTTTTTGTCAGTCCATTAATTTTATTAACGTTGGTACAATCCTGTGAATGGTGGGCCACTAGGGAGCCGATCACTGCTTCACACCCCATCAGCGATCACAGCCTTCACTGCGAGAACCTTTTCTGACAGCTGCAGAAGAAAAAGTCTCCACTGGATTCATTCTGCACCACTTTGGTTGCTTCTTTACCTGGTTTATCACAAAGAATATTTACCACACATCTTCTTTATTAATACATTCAGGATTTAAGGGGAAAAAAACCCTCTGTTTCTGTCCATGAGCTTGAGAAAGAAAACAGCCATGTCAACTGATATTAATGATGCATGAGATCTACGGGTCTAGGATCTAGTGTCATGTCAAGACTTGTAGTAATCCAGTAATCAGCCTTACTCCAGGGAGAAAGATTCAGCTGTGTTACTTTCCAGTCACCCCTTCCCATAATATAACACCTCGGTACAGACAGCAGAGCGACAAAACAGAAAATGTGGACAGTTAAAATTCAACTCAAGCTACAACCGTCCCCAACAGCCTCCCGAACACTCCCCCCGACCCCCCGGCATATTTACCTAGACCGTTTAAAGCACTTAATTAATTCCCCAGCAGCTTCGCTGGAGACGTCTCGAGCTTTCCGAGACTCCATTACATAGTATCTTTTACAAAGTCTATTCCTAGCTCGAGTGGAAGATGGATTCTCATCCAATTTGCGGAGGTTCCATGCATTTGCTTCCCTCTCCCGGGGTTTGATCCGGCGGCTGCCCAGCCGAGGCTGCAGCAATCGCCCCGGCCCCGAGCTTCGGGAATCCCAGCCACTCTCCGAACTCAAAACTGCCCCCCCACACACACACCCGGAGGTGCAGCCGTCCCGCCCTTCGGGTCCCCAGGCCAGCCGCGGTGACCACGGGATCGGCGGGAGCTCGGGACGCCGCGACTCTTGCTGCTCGCTGGGTGCGCCCCAGCTGAGCCGCAGCGCTCCTGCGGTGCTCGGGCCGGAGCAGCGGCCCGGCCGCAGGGCCAGCTTGGTGCGCCGGGCTCGCGGAGGAGGAGGAGGGAGAGGAGGAGGAGGAGGCGTGTGAGGGGAGGAAGGGCCTGGCCGCCGGGGAGGGAGGGAGGGGAGGAGGGGGAG